AACTAACAATTTACTACAGTTCGGTACTAATAAATCCATTTATTCTCTCATTTCAAGGAAAAGGCTCCAATTTACCAACAATTTCCCAGGGAAACCTTTCCCGAAACCATGAAGAAACCCAATTACTACAGAAATTTCCACCATATCCACATTTACAAAATCAATGTCAGTCACATTTTTACTATGGTGTATAGTGCCTCCATGAGTATATAAATGTCTGGCGACATTTAACATCACATCCAATCTTCTAATCTAATTATTCTGATATGGTATAAAATCAACAACTTGTAGGAGGAAATGCCTGTCAGACTTCCAAAATCCAAAGAAAAATACGAACCAACCTTGAAAAAAGAAAACCTTAGAATCCTACATTAGTAAGTGACAAGACTATATAATGATGTATATTTCTGTAAAAATCATGGCGAAAATGGTCACAGACTTAAAGACTTGCTAATAAACCTATAGAAATATCAATAAACCTGAGGTAATATCAACCAACCCAGCAGAAATTCCAACACACCTCCGGAAATAGAATAAACCTTAGAAGAAATAAATAATCATTGAGTTATCAAACAAATCTAGACAAACTTAGGTCACTAGTTGTGCCTTGATGGTTGCCTTGATGGTTAAATTTCATATGTTCGAGATTGATATAAGCTTACTAAAACTACAAAATGATCCTAAAAGTACAAGCATTTATGAATTAAACCCTTCGCTTGCAGGCAGCAACAGATTCTACCCATGCAACTAATGCAGACCAAAAATCAGCTGGAACATCAAGGCCATCATTCTGACCATGCTTGCCTTTCAGTCAGTACATATTTTGAAAAATTCCCTAAAATGATGATTGGTTGTGTCCAGATTGCAAGATGGACAAGTCCATTTAAGATATTTAGTGTGGAAATCATCAAATATAAAATTTTATTAATGACAGAAAAACAGAATGACAGAAAGGGGTTAATTCTGCTAAATTTAAAATGATGTCTGCATTTCTTCATTAAATTTCTGGAGGCTACTGCAAAGCTTAGTTCTTGACAAGAGGTTGAGGTCCTTGGCGCCTATTCTGGTGAAAAGGTTATTGTGATCGTTTTCAGCAGGATCAGAGCCCAGGTCAATGTTTTTCTCTGGTTGGATTTTATATCGCATCAACACTATAAAGGTCATTTAGCAACTTTCGAGAAAGACCTCAGGGACCCCTTATATGCATTACTTCAAGCACATACAAGCACCTGATTTAGATTAGAACATGGACATTAGATAGCTTCCTCACATAAAAGATAAAAGGGATTCCACAGCAGTGACGGGTAAGTGGTTCGAGTCTCAAAGCTAATTACAACCTAAAAAGAACTTTAAAGAGTTGTTAAAAAACATATTAAAATCAATTTAAATTGGCTTTATTTTTAGTTTGAGAATCTTGTTAAATTTCACCCATCGAAAATGATTTTACACTGATTAACATCATTTACATTCAACATGCATTAAAATTTGTTGTTTCAGACAGATCACATTTGACACGAGACATAAAACCATTGATTCTACATTGATTCATTGAAATAACTGGGAATGTCTTTTATAACATTCAATTTGTAGATTAACAGAACAAATTAACAGAAGCAGATATACTTTAAACTGTCCCAACCTGGTTACTGTACAGACAGAATAATTATGAATCCACATCCACTTTACTTGTTGCAATACTGCATGCATGCTCAGTACAGAATGAAATTACCTATATTATTTATTGGAAACATATATTTCCATGCTCATGTCCAATATTTGATGTTTATTTGTCAATTATTGATAAATAACTTAAAGCTGATAAATAACTTAAAGCTTGTAACAAAAACTCATACATAATGCTACAAATGTAAAAAGATGCTGTCAATAATCTGATTTTGTTTGGTGGGTTGTAAACATGTCTGATAACAATCATCAAAGTACTTAAAGTACCATATTGTAGTAAACATAACCATCAAAGTACTTTAAGTACCATATTGTAATAAACATAATCAGCAAAGTACTCTAAGTACCATATTGTAGTAAACATAATCATCAAAGTACTTTAAGTACCATTCAGCAAAGTACTTAAAGTACCATATTGTAGTAAAGTACTTTAAGTACCATATTGTAGTAAACATAATCATCAAAGTACTTTAAGTACCATATTGTAGTAAGCACAATCATCAAAGTACTTAAAGTACCATATTGTAGTAAACATAATCAGCAAAGTACTTAAAGTACCATATTGTAGTAAACATAATCAGCAAAGTACTTAAAGTACCATATTGTAGTAAACATAATCATCAAAGTACTTAAAGTACCATATTGTAGTAAACATAATCAGCAAAGTACTTTAATTAAGTACAAAAATCTCGAGCCAACTGATTAATGAATGAGGTAGAAAATGGACTCAAAACTCATAAGAATGGATCATTTTACTTCTTTAAATTAAAAACTTTCATTGTTATTACCACTGTCAATGTCTGCCTGAAATTCTGAGAACCAACACTGACATTTGAATACACTGATAACTTCAATTATGATCATCAAATCTGTATCTAAATTACATATCTATTTTATCAAAACAAGGAAGTTGTTTTTCAGCACTTGTTCTATGTATTATACTATTGATTTATCTGCCTTATATATATTATGTATATTAATATAAATTTCAAGTCTTTACAGAGAAGAAAAAATATAGTTTATTCATTTTCATCAGTGTACATGTAAGTCCTGACCAATGTCATTGCAGCATTTATGACAGTATCTGGGTTTGGTCAAGTTTTTTTCTTTCACACAAATTGAACTGTGTTCTGAAAATTTATTGGTAATGATTGGTTGAACAGTATGACAACTAGATGTTTCAAGGTTGATGCGGGATCTAATTTATTGTCCTCAAGCTCTGCCAATATAAAAATCAATCTTAGGCCACACTACATTAAATGTTCATTAGGTTCATTAGCAAGAAAAAAATATATGGACTAATATTCTATATTTGATAAAAAAATAATCATAGCAATTATAGCATGCCAGACTTAACAGAAAATATACATGTATATATATATTTTCATACAGACTGGGAAATGACCATTTTTCAATTCATAAAAACAATTTTGTTGCCTTGGTTTTTTTTTTCCACAATGTAATAATGTTAACACATTTGTTATTTGGTAATTGGCACATGCCATTTTATTATGATAATAAATGTCCCCCAAAGACTATGAAACTCAAAGATTGCTGAGGACCAATAACCTGCAAACCTACATGTATCTGCTTAAATGTGGTACAAAAATATAGAACAAACTTTAATATCAACAACAACAGCACCATATCTGGCTGCATAAGTTAAACAGCTGGTTGTGGGTAGAACAGTCATGGCTATTTTTGACAGGATTTGCACTTTGGTAAGTTTTAATCTGAGTTTCAGCTGCAACTACATGTACTCAACTCAATTACTCCCATGAATGATTATGGATTCAGTGCTTTTTTTTCCAGGGGCAGCCATTCCCTATTCCAAAATATATATTTTTTCTAAAAACAATCCTCTTCAACAGCAAAAAAAAAACAGCAAAAAAATTGAAACAGGCTTACTGGTTGAATGTTGAATTGTACTTATGCCAGTGCTAGAGGGCATGAGGGATGTTACACTTTTACATTATGCCTCATGTACAGACTGCCAATCAAACCAAGTCTGCAATTTTTATGTAATCTTGCTGTGATAAATGCTTTTTAGGGATCACCCTTCTTCCAGATTTTTAGAAAATTAACACACCGTAAACCTCTGCCAACCAGTGGCAATAGTGAGATGTTGATGCTAGAAGTATAAAGCCAGGTACAGCCGTACAGATTCCAACTGTCTACTGCAGACTGCTTGATTCTAACTGTTTATAAAAATAAATCCCTTAACACTAACAATAAGGAAAACTACAATTTAAAGCAAAAATATAGAGAAAAAAAAGAAATAATGAAATCCCTAAAGAAATGGCAAAATTGAACAGTTTGGTTTGATGGAGCCTGTTCATGGACCGTACTCAGGAAAGTGCAAGCTACCATCCACACCCCCTAACACAGGCATAAGTAGAATTTTAATATAAAATGGTGAAATTTTTAATTCAGAAACATCTACTTCAAACTTCTCTATCAAAAACATAAATATAGCCAGGCAAAGGTAACATTAAAGTAAGGACATTATTATTGCTGAATTCAATGAAATTAAAGTAAAGAACCCATCAATATGATAAAATGTCAATCAAAAGCCGAGATTAAAGTTTAGACTGTGATGAAAACAAGATTAATACACAATTTTATCTCCTATAAATTAAACTGGTTATTAAAGGTTTAAAAAAAATCCAATTTAATTGCCTATCATTCTAACCAAGTCAACCTCTTTTATGTACAATAGGATCAATAACCCAGACTAGATAGACAACTTATTTTCCTGCCATCTAGTAGGCATTAATGAGAAACTGTTCAGTAAGTATACAGATTGTGTCAGCTCTCTAGACTCTTCTGTTAGTAGTGTTCAATAATTCATTAAATATCATCTATTTTCACCAATTTCCATTAACACTCCTCTAATACCTACAAAGACTTTTAAGGAAGTGCAGTAAAAAACACCTCTGCAAAAGTTTCAGGGACCAGTTAATCGTGTACTCGATGGAAATTGTGAGTATTGAATATCTTTAACAAAATTGACACTTGAGGACTTGGCACCATAAAAGCATCACTTTATTTTTCCTTAATATATGATATCATTGTGAAATAGAATAATCTAGAATTTCAGTGATATATGTCCACTGTACAAACATTTCAACTTGTTAAATGTAATCAAAAGACTGCAAATTTACAATGCTTAAGGTCTTAGACTTAATTATGCAATCAACATTTGACAGGCTAAACAAGAGGGCCATGATGGCCCTAGATCGCTCACCTGACTTATCAAACTCATCCAAACAATTACCAAGACAAGCATTCTGACCAAATCTCATGACAGGTGAGTCAAAAATGTGACCACTACAGTGTTAACAAGGATTATCCATATTTGAGCAGTGCGACCTAGTTTTTTTACCCAGGTGACACATATTCAAACTTGACCTAGAAATCATCAAAACAAACTTTCAGACCAATTTCCAGGATACTTGGATCAAAACAGTAGCAACTAGAATGTTAACAAAATTTTTCTATTTTTAGCTCCGGTGACATAGTTTCACATGCGATTTCGAACTCATCCAAGGAATTACCTAGACAAGCATCCTGACCAAGTTTGATGATAATTGAGTCGAAAATGTGACCACTAGAATGTTAACAAGGTTTTTCTATATTTGGGCGGTGTGAACTAGTTTTTCATCCAAGATGACCCATGTTCGATCTTGACTTAGAAATCATGAAAACAAACTTTCAGACCAATTAACAGAATATTTGGATCACAACAGTAGCCACTAGAGTGTTAACAAGATTTTTCTATTTTTAGCTCCTGTGACCTAGTTTTTCATCCGAGATGTCCCATGTTCAATTTATTCCCAGCAATGACCTAGACAAGTTTCCTGACCAAGTTTGATGACAATTGAGTCAAAATTGTGACCACTAGAGTGTTAAAAAGGTTTTTCTATTTTTAGCTCCTGTGACCTAGTTTTTCATCCGAGATGACCCATGTTCGAACTCATCCGAGCTATCACCTAGACAAGCATCTTGACCAAGTTTGATGATGATTGATGCAAAAATGTGACCGCTAGTGTTAACAAGGTTTTTCTATTTTTAGCTCTGGTGACCTACTTTTCATCTGAGATGACCCATGTTCGAACTCATCTGAGCTATCAACTAGATAAGCATCCTGACCAAGTTTGATGATGATTGATGCAAAATGTGACCGCTAGAGTGTTAACAAGGTTTTTCTATTTTTAGCTCTGGTGACCTACTTTTTCATCCGAGATGACCCATGTTCGAACTCATCTGAGCTATCAACTAGATAAGCATCCTGACCAAGTTTGATGATGATTGATGCAAAAATGTGACCGCTAAAGTGTTATCAAGGTTTTTCTATTTTTAGCTCCGGTGACCTACTTTTTCATCCGAGATGACCCATGTTCAAACTCATCTGAGCTATCACCTAGACAAACATCTTGACCAAGTTTGATGATGATTGATGCAAAAATGTGACCGCTAGAGTGTTAACAAGGTTTTTCTATTTTTAGCTCTGGTGACCTACTTTTTCATCCGAGATGACCCATGTTCGAACTCATCTGAGCTATCACCTAGACAAACATCCTGACCAAGTTTGATGATAATTGAGGCAAATATGTGACCTCTAGAGTGTTAACAAGGTTTTTCTATTTATAGCTCTTGTGACCTAGTTTCTCATCCGAGATGACCCATGTTCGAACTCATCCGAGCTATCAACTAGATAAGCATCCTGACCAAGTTTGATGATGATTGAGGCAAAAATGCGACCGCTAGAGTGTTAACAACTAAATGTGAACGGACGACGGACGGACGACGGACGACGGACAATCATCGATCCTAAAAGCTCACCCTGAGCATGCTCAGGTGAGCTAAAAAGTTGAAGAAATCCCCCTTTTTAAATTTAACTATCATTTTCATCCACTTATGACATTTAATTACCAAACATTGTGTTTTCTGGAATTTGTGTCCGTAATTTGTTCCAGTGCTAGGGTACTTGATAATAAAAACTACTTAAGGGCTAATTGCTTTCAATTTTATCAGATTTAATTGATTAATTAAAACCAAATCAAACAATTTTTTTTGTTTTAATTTTCAACTAGAACTATCGCTGAATGCGATTCATACCCCCACCAATGTCCTTGACAGAAGACCACTTGGAAAGGTGGTTAAGGGAATAACTTATGTGGCACAAATACATAAAAAGAAATTATCTCTGGTGAAAAAAAGACTAACTGTACAGGTAATAGTATAAATATATATTATCAAATCATGTTCGAAACAGTTACAAATACCCTTTCATTTTCCCAATGTATTAAACATTTTATTTATAAGTCAATTTTTGACCTTCAAGTGTGACCTTGACCTTAATCTGACACAAGGGTAAGATTGGTTTTGCACATCACACAGTTTGGTTGAACATTTGAGTAAAGTTTGAAGAGAATCCTTCCATTAGTATAGAATTTATAGAGTAGACACAATATATTGTCTAGTATTGGTTGTACGTAAATTTGAAGACTTAAAAAGGGGGCATACTTTGTCCAAATTCAATACAGAGTAATGAAACTTGACCTGCATATCTTATTTGCCACACCTCATATATCTTTTAAGTTTCAAGCAAATGCCTGCGTTAGTTTCAGAATTATTCAAGTACATGTTAAAATTTAAGAACATTTTCTAGTCAATTTTTGACTTTCAAGTGTGACCTTGACCTTTAGCTGGCACAAAGGTGACATGGATTCTGCACATAACCTTGTTGAGGTGAAAATTTGAGTAAAGATTGAAGAAAATTCTTCCATTAGTATTGGATTTATAGAGCGGACACAACATTTTGTCTAATATTTGATTGTATGTAAATTTGAAGACTTAAAAAGGGGCATAACTTTGTTAAAATGCAATACAGAGTTATGAAACTTAAACAAACAGCATATCGGAATTGTGACCCTTCAAAAATATTTTTAAGTTTCAAGCAATACCTTTTCTAAATTTAAAAATATTCAAATAAATGTTAAAATTTAAGAATATTTTCTAAGTCAATTTTTTGACCTTCAAGTGTTGACCTTGACTTTAAGCCAGCAAAAGAGTGACATAAGTTCTGCACATCCCCTTGTTGAGATGAACATTTGAGCCAAGATTGAAGAAAATCTTTCAACTAGTGTAGGACTTACAGAGCGGACATGACATACTGTGTAATATTAGATTGTTTGATATTTGACCTTCAATTGTGACCTTGACCTTGAGCTGACACATGGGCAACATGGGTTCTGCACATCCCCTTGTTGAGATAAACATTTGAGCCAAGATTGAAGAAAATCTTTCAACTAATGTAGGACTTACAGAGCGGACATGACAAACTGTGTAATATTAGATTGTTTGATATTTGACCTTCAATTGTGACCTTGACCTTGAGCTGACACATGGGCAACATGGGTTCTGCACATCCCCTTGTTGAGGTGAAAATTTGAGCCAAGTTTGAAGAAAATCTTTCCATTAGTGTAGGACTTACAGAGTGGACACAACATACTGTGTAATATTTGATGGTGTTTGATATTTGACCTTCAATTGTGACCTTGACCTTGAGCTGGTACATGGGCAACATGGGTTCTGCACATCCCCTTGTTGAGGTGAACATTTGAGCCAAGTTTGAAGAAAATCTTTCAAGTAGTGTAGGACTTACAGAGCGGACATGACATACTGTGTAATATTTAATTGTTTGATATTTGACCTACAATTGTGACCTTGACCTTGAGCTGACACATGGGCAACATGGGTTCTGCACATCCCCTGGTTGAGGTGAACATTTGAGCCAAGTTTGAAGAAAATCTTTCAAGTAGTGTAGGACTAACAGAGCGGACATGACATACTGTGTAATATTAGATTGTTTGATATTTGACCTACAATTGTGACCTTGACCTTGAGCTGGCACATGGGGGACATGGGTTCTGCACATCCCCTTGTTGAGGTGAACATTTGAGCCAAGTTTGAAGAAAATCTTTCAAGTAGTGTAGGACTTACAGAGCGGACACAACATACTGTGTAATATTTGATGGTGTTTGATATTTGACCTTCAATTGTGACCTTGACCTTGAGCTGACACATGGGCAATATGGGTTCTGCACATCCCCTTGTTGAGGTGAACATTTGAGCCAAGTTTGAAGAAAATCCTTCAATTGGTATAGGAGTTATAGAGCGGACACGAAAATGGAGACGGACAGACCGACCGACCGACGGACGGACCGACGCGACAAAGCGAATCCATTATAGCTCCCCCCACATTTTGTGGTGGGGGTATAATAATGTACATTTCTCTCATCAATAGCAATGATCAATTTTTTGTATCAAGGTAGAAAAAGAAAGTGTAACACAAGAAGGAATACATAGTTATGATGAAAAAATTAAAAGTTCAAATTTTATGTATGAAAGAAAATAAATATCAAACAAAGTGATATATCAATCACATAATAGAATATGATATACTTTCAGCATTCTTAACAACAAAGATTGTATAAATTGATATTAATATCATAACACTGCAGTATTAAGTTGATAACTTACTGTTAAATTGTGCAAAATTTGTATAATTTTTGTTGATAACCCTCTTTTTCTTTAATTAAAGGCAACTTTTCAGAAAGTATCTATGAACAGAAAATATCCAAGATTGTTGAAAACTTGAATAATTCAAACATATTAACAACTTTCTCATAATAAGAAAAGTATAATGTATTTTGCAAATTCAGCTAAAATATTTTTCAAGTTTTCTTAGTTTTATGGAAACTTGTGTCTCATTTTAGCTGTAAATATTACCCCTTAGGGACTATTAAGTCCAATATATATACATGTAGTTCAAATCATGTTGAGTTATAGTGCCAGGAGGCATAATGTTGTGTTATAATGCACATAAATAGATAGCAATTCCATATTGCTATCAATATGTTCCGAACTCAAAGTATCACTTCTAGATCTTTCAACAGACCCACAAACACATAAAGTTTAACTAGGAATGTGTCTATAAGACACAGATACCCCCACCCCCTCCATATTCCACTGTTTTGTCAGTATACTGACATACTGCAGGACAGACTGACAGACAAAGGCAATTCTACAGGACTCCCTTATCCCTAAGTGGTTGGGGCATAGAAATGACATCCAATTTTTCTAATGTTGACATTTTGATTTTTGCAAATATTGAAATGCAAGAATTTCATTTCTCAATTTTACATCCTAAACTATATGCTCCAAAAAAACCCAAACAGAAATGTGTAAAAAGGACACAGGACTGGTGCTTCCTCACTCCACTGTTTCGTCAATCTATTGACTCTAGGTCAAATATTTTTTGGGCTACAAGCAACAAAAGTTGAAAATTGCAAATCTTTTTCTAGGGCAAGGGCAAAATCTCTACAAATACTGAATAAATCCACAGGAGCATAACTACGCATGCTGACCAACCTTCCTGTAAACTTTAGGTCAAATTCTTTTTGAGCTACACACGAACAAGTTGAAAATTGCACATTTATACTAAGTCAAGGGCAATAACTCTAACAAAACTGTAGAGAAAAATCCACACACAAAACCCAAGGTGCACAGCTTCACATGTTGATCAACATCCCTGTAAAGTTTTTTTTACTATAGCTCAAGCACTTTATTTTAAGGTACACATGACACAACATTTTGGAATGGACTGACACATAGACAGATTGACTAGGGCAAATCTAAGAGTGGGGGCATAAAAATCTTAAGAATTTACAAAGATCATTCCATGGTTATCTAAAAATGACCCCTAAACATTTCTTTTATTCTTGCAATCAGAACATCTTTATTTGGCTAACTAACTCTTAAAAGTGCCTACTAACATTTTAAAACACTTATTCTTTATAATATATATTCCTTTTAATGTCTGTTCATACATGTATCATAATCTTCTTTATCAAAATGTACATACATTTAAAACGGATGGACAATCTTTAAATGATAAAGTAGAGCTCCATTTGTATCTGGTAAATACCATCAAATCAAGCATCCACTCAGATGCTGCAACAATAGTTTTGTTTAGACTATAGTACAGACTACCACAACTTTTGCAGCATAAATCAGACTATTCATTGACATAAATTACTTAAAACCTGACTGATTTTTATAGCCTCCAAAAATTAAATGAATGATAACTTCAGCATGGCTGTGTAAGTTACGATTTCTTTTCACAAACAAAAATTCTTAGATCCATTTTATCACTAAAGTGGGAGAGGACCCATTGTCAGTGTAAGAAATTCGGATTTGAATTCACTAGGCTGGTCGGACTACCACAGAGCTCCAGATAGCATGCGTATAAGCGTAAAATACGCATGGAAAATCTAAAATACGCATCACTTTCAAAATTCGTGCGTCAAAGTTACGCACAACAAAATGAAAATACGCTTGTATGTCAAAATTTAAGCGTAAAAAATAGAAGTGTAAACATTTGATATTCAGATAGAGGATGTTTTGAGCATAAAAATACAATATATTTCCATTTTATTGCATTAAAACTTAAAGTTCTGTTGTCAAAAACGCATGTTTAAAACGAAAGAAGCAGGAAGTACAGAAGGGAGGTAACTCCCGTAGATCAACCTGTGAAATTGTTGATATAAATTTTTGCCAGATAATCATCGTAGGAGTTAACAGTATTAAGTTTGTTTAGGCATCTATTGACATGCTTATATGTCTCAATATAAACAAAAATATATTTTAATTTCTTTCACTTTTGTTGTTGAAACAAAATAATATGTTTTTCACGTGCAGTTTTGTACTCAATATTTTCGTACCCAGTCTACAGTTATGGACAATTTTCTCTCAGAGTGAGACCAATACTTTTTATAAGGAAAGATAAAAAATCTTGTTTTTATTTTCTTTAATTCTAATTTCAACTATAATTGTTCAAACTGGAGCATATGATAAGCTACATGCCAACAGAAATAAAGAAAGAAAAATATTGACTCCTAGAAAATATATTTATTTCAGGGCTTCCAATAGTGGAAGTTTGGGAGTCATTTACTCCTTCATTTTGGCATGTGACTTCCGAAAATCTAATACTTTTCCTTCTTTACCAATATAATGTGACTTCCAATATCAGAGATTTTGAAGTCTTTGACTTCCAAATTTTGAAAATGGAAGCCCTGATAATTTTGCTGTTTATCCTAAACTTGAGTTCCAGTATACTTTGGCACGTTTTGTATTGCTTCACATTGAATCAGTATTTTATCTTTAAAGGTTTTTCTAAAAAAAGAAAATAAACAAACAAATAAACAAAAACAATAAGTTTAATTTGTTTATAAAAAATGCAAAATGCTTTTTTGACAGATTTTACCCCTTAAGTTTTTCAAATTTTACATTTTACCCCTCACTCTAAATTTTGAGGGGTAAAAACCCCTTGGCCAAAAAAATTATCTGGAGCTCTGCTACCAGATTGGATTATTAACTATCCCAAAAGACATTTCACTAGCATGATTCATTTGTTAAAAACAGTTGTTTATATTGCCTCTGAAAATATGGTAGCCTGGTCGGGCATGTTACTGTGAAAAGTTGGTAGCCCGAGGAGAAATTTAGTAGTCAGGGGATATCGGACTACTGCTAATTTCGAACACTGCATTGTAGTTTGTAAAGATAATTGTGTTATATCATTATTTCAGAGAAAAATACTGAAAGGCATGCACCCTTGATGATTTCTAAGAAATTTTAAAGTGCAAGTTTGATACATTACATGTTCTTGTAATTAAGATTTCCATGCAGATACATTATATACTTATATGTACTTTGAGGATTTTTTCTCTCTTTTTTATTTTTAACACTTAACTTAACAAAGACATTAGGACATAAAGAAACTGTCTTAACTCAAGACTTTCGGGCACCCAACAAATTCTTCATTGTTCTGTATATTTCAAGAATCTGCAAAACTTTATCAATATAGAACTTTGAACAATTCTTCAGTAAAAAATATATTTTTGTTTTAAATGTGTATGCCGTTATTGTGTTGAATCAAATGATTATAAAGACTTACCATCTCTCACTCTAAGCAACTGTTCAAAATATTTTGCTCCAAATTCAAATGGATTCTCTGGTTGATTTCGTAGCACTTCTCTTGCAAGACCCTCCAATATATTTTGGAATCCTTTTGGCACTCTCAACTTTGTGTTTGAAAATGGAACTGCCATTTTGATTGTGTTTCTAAAAATAAAAACTGCTAGATCTGTATAAAATAAACCAAAAACTCAATTCTTATACTGATAGCATAAACAATCTTAACTTATTTCTAACAACAAAACCGTATTAACTTCAATAAGTGAACATGCGTTTCTTTTTAAGATAGTTTACAACCGGTTGTCTATGGTAACGAAAATTCAGGATGGCTATTTCGAACGATATTTGCCCACTATTTATTACCATCATGACAGTTATGTAGATAACGACATGTATCTCCAAAATAAAACATTTTAATCATCAAAACTCCCTATAAAATAACTAAAATGATATAAATTTTAATTTTACTTTACTAGTCTTGTTCAGACGACAACAGGTTCCCGTGACGATTAAATCCGAACTATCCCGTTTATTGTTTGGTGCGGTAAAAACAAATCCGAATGACACATTTCGACAGTGTTAATCATTCGGATATAGCATCCGTCCGGACAAGAATTAGTGTCGTGTTTTTTTTATTTTTATTTTTTCCTCTTTTTTTTCTCTAAAAACAAAAGATGCTTGACCATGTTCAGTTCACAACACTATTATATTATATTATTGCCTAAATATATGTAGACTGAGTGTTACCTTTTAACTTAATTAACGAATATCACTTGAAATAATGTAGCTAGGTGACTTTTGCAATGTTCTACAAGAAAATTTATACCTCATTAAAATGTTAATAGAGCGGAAGTAAGACACTGGAAAAGAGTTCTTAGAGGACCAGATATTCTTAAAATTTATATTTAGAAAAGCGTATGAATCGGACAATTAACAGTGCCTATTCTAGGAAGGGGGATGGGGGGGGGATTCACCCATATTTTTGAGAATTCTCCCCTATTTTTTCAGAGGCAGGGGTGGAAATTTTACATAGAGAAAGAAGGAAAAAAAATCGACAAATGTTAAAAATTCTCATTTTTCGACAAAAGTCCCCCCTGTTTTTCAAATCCTAGAATAGACACTGATTAATCTTATTAACTAGTCACGTTCTAGCACCAGATACATGTACATGTAATTTTATTTGTTATCTATATTTTACAATGTACACTAATTTATATATAGCCTTCCTTTAGAGAATAATACACGTTTCTCCTTTAACCATTAAATTGCTAAAAAACTTAAATGGTTATTTTCGAATTTTTTTCAAGGCTCCTGTATTGATTAAAATGCAAGAATGTAGAGAAATTCTAGGTTTCATAAACCTCTTGCTAGGCATCAATGAAGTGTGTTCGAAAGTATAAAAACTATCATATATATATGGTGTCAGATATATTAATGATAACTTACTAGTTTCCTGATTAAATGTGTCAACTTCACGGTATCCTCCATGTATACATACAATCTAGGTTCAATCTAGGTTCAATCCCCGTCGTTAAACACATATTTGCGCGTTTATAACTTGCCTCTGCAATTGGGATCAAGTAACCCTTACAAGAGCCCGAGTTTTGATGAAAGAGGACAGAAAACGTAGCCTTGATGAATATTGTTGGGGTTTTTTTTTGTTGTTTTTTTTCCGAGTGTATCGCAGTGTTGCACCGAACCAGTGTCTTTTAAATAGAATTGAAAGACCCTTTAGAATAAATGCAAAATATACATGTTTCACATGACGTTTAAGGCCATCTGATTAGCATGTTTTAATTCCCCAATGCGAATTTTTCATTTTCCGCAAAGGTAACTCACTGTCAAAGATCTGGATCTTAATGATTCTTTTTGTCAGATGTACAGTATTTACAATTAAAAATGTACAACTTTGTACCATGCATCTTACTTTTATGTGTAGATCTATTAATATTTGGGAAAACTGCCAAATTTTTGGATTTCTTCTACGTAATTAGCGATTTCATGATGTACATGTACTGAAGTTCTATCACTAGCATTCACGAAAAAATGTGCACTACATGTTGTAACATGTATATTCCAACAGGGTTTTTTGTGATTTTATCAAACACTGAATTTATGAATCCGTGTTTTCTGCAAGATCATTGAGTACTCTCCCTTTACCTTTTAACGTCGCAAACCGAAATACGTACTAAGGATAACAAATGATGACGCGGTTAAGTTGTTTCGCAATATCATTATATTTATTCCATATTTACTTAACTTTCTAATATTTAATCTATTTAAAGAGCTTCACCTTCATGTTTTACCTTGTTTTTCATTTTCATATTTATCATCGCGACATGTCCATCATTGCAACATGCTCACCATTGAACATGCCCACCATTACAACATGCTCATCATCACATCGTGCCCACTATCGCAACATGTCCGCCATGGCAACATGCCAGTCATTGCTATATGTGCATCATTGCAATATGCCCAGTTGCCCGTCATCGTAACATGCTAACCATTGCAATATACTCACCATTGCAACATGTTCACCATTGCAACAGAGGTAACGCGACCTCATAGAAAAACACTTGTTGTTAAACATATAAATATTTGATCTTCATTGGTGGTGGTATTGGTAGTTTTCCATCTGGTATCGATCTGACAACTACAATTGTTTTTTTTATGTCTTCTTTAATGTGAACTTAACTTTGCTTTTCTTCATATGTAACATCTGGTAAAATAATAGTTAAAAATCTATAAAACCACGATCAGAAAATTTCATATAGATATTGTTGCTCCCTAGTATGGACTTTTTAATGCGTAAACATTTCATAAATGCAATTATATTTAATGTAGTGATTGTCGCAATATCTATTTCAACTATAATTTATTTATATTTATTTTACTCACACGTGGAGTACTGGGATCCCATTCGATCTACAATGTTACGAACAGTACGTATGTTATCCATAACTACATTAAATTGTACATGTATTTCGTTAGTAGATCGTCCAGTTGTTAGTATACGACACAAAAAACCATCATAGTGTCAGTGTTTCGATACAATTCTAATATGAAAAGTAAATACTGATAAGTCAAGATTAAATATATTCACGTAATGTGTCAATTGTCTTTGATGTGTGTTTCATATATAACTAACTACATGTAACTTATTCAAACATTCTGACAAAAAATAGTAAAACAGGAATAGAAATGCAGTGAAGGTTGCATAATACTTATTTAAATAAGTTTGATTATTATTTTCTATAAGATTTACCAGTTGGTCCATAATTATTTCTCGAGTTCTTATTGATCACAGCATCACGTGACTGACATGCACTCAATACAATGATATCATGAATCTGTTTAAAACCTACCACATAGAAATATTGTAAAATTTTAAAATATTTTATTGATAGAGGGGCGTGAGGGATGTTACACTTCTTCATTATTCTTCATGTACAGACTCAATCAAACTGAGTCTGCAATGTTCGTGTAATGTTGCTATAGGGCATCCGTCCAATGCACCCAAATATTTTTTTTTATTTTTAGTGCCTTTCAACCTATGCAACCCCGCCATATGTCACTTCCGGTTATTATGATTAGGTCTTATTTTTAATAAAATCAATATTTTCTGATTTTTAAGAAGATGTCGTCAAAATTGAATACAGCCTCTCAGCCACAACCTCTTGAGGATGTTCAAGGAGATGATAGATGGATGAGTCAGGTTTGAATTTTGAGATATTCTTACGGAAATTTAAAACTGTAAAGTGTTTGTTTTTCGGATAATGAATAGCTAACGGATACTTACGGCTTTATGATCATGTAATCTATGTTATGAATGGTATTTGCATGCGAAATAATATGTCATATAGATGTTAAATATTTCAGCTTGTTCTATACTTCACAACATTTCTGTGAATTAAATTTAATATGAATTATTAGGAGGTTTTTAATGGTAATGAAATGTGGAATATAATTTAAAGCTGTTTTGGTTATTGTCGTCCCATGTATTCCATGTATCCCAGATTATCTTTTAGTATACTAGAAAGTACCCACCAATGTAACAAGTACTGATTGGTTACTATTTTTCGAATTTTTGAGACGTCCCCCGTTGCCATGCCATGGTAACAGGTAATTTAAGATTGAGCATGCTGTTACAGAGGCTATGGTTCCGTCATTATTTTTGCCAAGTTTCATCAGTATTGAAGCATTTTTTTATAGTTTCATAGCAGTTTGAACTTGTAACAGGAGGCTTTTCATTGAAAACAGCCATTTTTCACAATATGCTCTTGCGGTTAAAGTGACTAAGTGTAAAACCAAAGCAAAAAAAATCATGGATGGTAAATGCAAGCTGCCTTCACCAGGGCCAAAACACTTTTTTGGGGAAGGGGCCTCAGTCTTTTTCTAGGGGAAAATATGCGTGATTTTGGCAGACTTTGGGAAAAGGGGTCTCAAATTTAACACAAACTTTTAACAAGTTCTTCAGAATAGAAAAGCAAAAAGCACTGGGAAATACTAATAAGGCAGTAAAAGACCTTAATTCAACACCATCATTTACTTTTGTTCTAAATTTTATGGGAAATTTCAAAAGACTGGGGAATTTTGAGGACCAAATTGGGGGGAAAAAGAGGCTAGTTTGGTTGGGGAAGCAGCCTACATTCGGCCTCTACAAAGTAGGGTTTTTTGACCCTGTTCACATTTGAAACTGATAAAAATGTTGTTTTTATACAGTATTATGCACCGGTCACAGGGTTAACTTGTGGTAAATGTTTTTCATTGTTCATGATTTAAATGTTTGCTGTTTTAAAAGTCGTAATTTTACAACAATAAAAATACCAAAACTATATTTTTGCTGATATGTATATAAATTATAATATTCATTGGTTCATTGGTTATTTTGTCTTGCAGCATAAAAGATTTGTATTTTTAACAAAGGAAAGAGAACCAGAAGTTGTTTTTATTGGTGATTCACTTATTCAGCAACTGGCAAGAATAGAGGTATAAATGTTCATTGTTGTGCAATAGTTTGTATTTATATACATGTACATGTATGTGCTGCCTGCCTGGAACTTCAGGCCATTGGTCATAAACATAATCAGGTTCTACCTACTTGTATGCTTATAACTTACCATCTGACCTTGATAGTTATGATTTGACTTAAATGCTATTAAAGTTGAGTAACATCAAAAATTCTTATGTTGTTTTACCCAGAACAAACTCATTGAACTTTGAGAGTGCATAGCAATTGTCAGTATTTTCAAATAACAATGTATCTTTAATAAAATTTCAATAAAAATTTCTTAATAAAATTCAAAGCTCATAAATGAGAATGATCAGACTTCCCGAAATACGTCGGTTCGACGGACATGTCCGATAAATTTTGATCAGGTCCGACGATTTTTTATTCTGGATCGGTCCAACTGTCCGGCTTCTATTTAAGCCGCATGTATACAAAATGGCGTCACTAAAGGTGCCAAACCTGGGAAAAAACGAAAATCTACATCAGAGAACAGAACAGCAATAAAAGGATGAAAAGAATAGACCTGAGACAAAGTTTTCTGAAAAAATTGGAAGCAGGACCATGAATCGTTAGTGTATGAAAGGGAGGAGATAAAAATGTGCTGTACGGAATATGCCGATTTTTACGGCGAAGAAATTAAAACCAAAAAGTGTTTTAGAAATACAAACACAAGTTTTTCTTTGATTTTGATTAATTTTATTCGGTCTGGCAGATTTCGTTTTGGTCCGACAGATTTTCATGGTTTGTCAGACGGAATGTCTGACAGTTTTTTTCAACTTTCAGGAAGTCTGAATGATTGGTAATTTATATTGAAATGATGGCCCAGTGGTCTGTGAATTACTAAGTTATACCCTTACAAAGCTAGACTTGCAAATCTAAGTATGACTGTTGAAATTTTTTTGATGGGCAATCGACCCTTGATTTATATGTAGTCTAGCGACACCCTGCATTCACTTTCAAATATGCTTTCTGATTAACATTTTGCTTTATATAAAATGAAGGAAAGGGAAAAACGAAACATATCAAATAATTCCAAAAATAACTTTATATGTAATGATAATTTTAAGAATTATTATTTTCAGTTGTGGAAGAAAATGTTCGAGCCTTTGCATTGTGTTAATTTTGGAATTGGTGGTGACCAAACACAGCATGTACTGTGGAGAATTCTTAATGGAGAAATGGACAATGTAGAACCTAAGGTAATAATACATTTAATGCAGCAGTCTATGATAAGTCTGGTAATTTACTTGGATTGAACATGCCATTTGCAATGTGTAAATTACTTTCTTTGTTCACTTGACAATATTTTGTCTTTTATAATAATGTTTTCAAAATTTTCTTGAAAATTAGCATGAATCTTGAGGCATAATGCTTTAAGACTCATACATGTATCTTTAGGGACACAGCATTTAAATTCTCAATGGTATGACTAATAACAAATTTTTGGTATCATCTTTCAATAAATATCTTAATTCCCATTATAACCAGTGTGATACAGTTCTTTAGCCACTTTGCTTGTCTTTGTATTTACCACGGTTTGTGAAAAATAGGCAAAACCTGTGTCAAGTACAGTTCCATTTGGGCTCTCATAAAATGTATGGAACATACAAACAGATTAAAATAAATGCCTGGCACAAAGCCTGAAAAAAATAGTTAAATTAGAAGATGCTGATGAACAATTAAGAGCCTTTGGAACAAACTAGGCAAAAAGTTTCAGCATATTTGTTATATTTTTCTGTAACATATCGGGAATAAATGTTTATCAAATGATATCACTTTTCATTTGTTTCTCCAGATTAAATACTATAAATGTTTTAAAAATAATGGACAGAATTTTTGGGCAAGTTAAAAATGGTTTGGGCTGCATGATATTTTAATGGACAAAGACCAAATAAATATGACCATAAAAAGTTCTTCATGCTGACTATAACCTTAAGCTTGTCATTAATATTAATGGTTTCAAATTTTAACCAATCTCTAACTAAAATAAATAATTATAGGATGTAAATGTATATATTTTGATAGAGATTATTTTCATTATGGACCAAAACATTTCATATGATTTTGTTATCAAATAAATATTAATTCTAAGTGTGTGATATTATAAGAATTTTCTTAATTTTCATTCTAGGTGGTTGTATTGTTAGTTGGTACAAACAACTATGGTAATACAGCAAAAGAAGTTGCAGATGGTATTCTAGCAATTGTTGATGCTATACAATTAAAACAGCCGAAAGCTCATATAATAGTTATGGTAAGTATGTTGGCAGTGTAGTCACATTATGTTGCTATAATTTATGATTGACGAATAAGAATTGTTGTTCTACCAAGGTACCTGAGTGTTCCAGAAATAATGCTTGGAGAGATACTTGAGGTTTTCCTTAACTAGTAAAGCTGAATAGCTAATTATATAACCTTTGACATATACAGTGTCAACACAATAAAAAATATGATAAAAGATGACAAGTAAATGATTGTAAAGGATGAATAGTAGATTTATAGACATTTGATCAAATACAAAATCATTTTGTAAAATAGATTTCAAATAATCATCATTAACATGGTTTTCAAAGGGAAAAATGTCGTTAAAACTTAAGATATTGGTGAATTTATGACTGTAATTTGGCATAAACAAATTCTTCTATGAATAAATTTTCCTTCATTTCTTAAACAATTTCAACCAAACCTCACTGCTTCAAGTCCCCTAGTGTATAATTGATAGCATTTTTTTATTAAAACATTTGTGGCTGAATTCTGGCTGTTTGTTATTTATCACATCTGTAATTTTGGGTTATAGAGGAGCATTTTAATGTGTCCTACACCACCTCTATTTCTCAAATTTGCATAGAACATAGAATAACTCCTACATGTTACAGTGGATTTCCAGCAAACCTTCACAGAATTTTCATTAATTAATGTCCTTGCTATTAATGTAATGTTTTTATGAAAATAATGTAGGTATTAAATGATAATTAGTTTCTGTTTAGCTTTCTTTGTACCTTCTAGATTGAAAACCAGTATTCAATATTAACAACCTTTCATAGAAAAATGAGGAAATCTATCTATTTAAAGAATAATTGTTCCTTAATAAGCATAAAGAAAAGAATAAATAACTGCTTAATATTTCAGGGCATTCCACCAAGGGGAGAGAATCCAAATAAGCTTCGGGATAAAATAGAGGAAATCAACAATAACCTGGCTATTCAACTAAATGACGTAAAGAGTTGCACATTCCTGGCTACAGATCCTGCCGTATTTATAAATTCAGAAGGAACAATCAGTCCTACAGATATGCATGACTTCTTACACTTTACTAACGAGGGTTACAGAAAGCTGTGCGAACCATTGTTAGAATTACTACAGGATCTGTTGCAAAATTTTGTTAAGGTGGCCAATACCTCACAGGATAGTGACTCTCTTGCCGGTGATTTAGCCACGAAAGCTCCCTAAATATTTCATTTAACTAAAGTATTTATAAGAATAACTCACGAGTAAAATTGTTGTACAAGTGTGAAATTATCTACCCTGCTATATGGGTTTTTTTTCCTTTTTTTTGATAAACTGACGCATGTTGTTTTTGTTTCGGGTCATATATTTAAAGTGCTGCTTAAATATCATACAGTGTTTTTGTTTTGTTTCGTTTTTTGTAGAAAAAAGCTTTAGAGATAAGTAAATTTTAGGGAGATTGAACTTGCATTTCAAAAGTTGCATAGCACAGTATGGGTAAAGTTATTTTTTCATTCTGAGATTCTTATATAATTTTACCTTATAAACGAAATTGACGTTGAAAAAAGAAGAAATAAGGTGTACCAATAAAGTGTGATTATACATGTTTATGTATTTTTGTTAATACTTTTAAGACCATTCTTTAAGCATAAAAGTACAGTTCATAGTGGTATAATATTCGTCAGACAAATATTTCAGAGTCAGTAAAGCTAAGAATGTCTGCATTATCAAGTGAAACCATGTGATTTTATAACAAAAAGAGCTAGGTTTACTAACCAATGAAAATGGCTCAAAAAAGCCTAAAAATAAAACGTAAACTGGTATTTCAACCCTTAGCCTGCTGGCAGCAACAGATTATACATTTGACCAGTGTAGACTATGATCAGCTGACTCATCAGAAATTCAGTCACTACTTATTTTAAGATTTTCCCTAAAAATGATTGAATGGTTTGTCCATATTGAAAGATGGACAAGTTTATTTCAAAGATTTAGGGTAGTAAGGCTTAACGTTTAAGCAAGTCAGGCTCATAAGAAAATTCCATATTTAGTCATCAAAAAAGCCTAAACTAGCAGGATGACTAGCATTGTACAATTTAGAATAATAAATTTGCTGATTGTACTTTCATTAAGGGTATCTGATTAACAGAATGGTGTTAGTTGTAAATACATGTACCTACTCTTTTGTTAAAGGGTTGTCTTTTAATTCAAACATGACTATAATAATATGTATTGATATATTGAGTAGCATATATATGATATCTGCTGTGCTTATAATGTAAACAATGATATTTGATATGTTGTTATCATTGATATGTTGTTTTCATTGATATGTTGTTATCATTGATTGATAAATGTTTTACTTATGACATTAAGTCTTTGCATGCCATATATTTGATTTGGGGCATAAAATAGCTTACATTTTGATTGTTTCTTCAACAGTTATTTTCTTATATAATTTAGGTCCGAGGTTATAAAGAAACTCTTTATTCTCTAACTCAGATCTCAGGTATTTGATTGGTTAGACACCGCCACAGAATGTTCACTGACCAATGAAAATCCTGAGGTTTGAGATGGAACTAATTAAAAAGTGCTGTAACCTTGAGGCCAGGTCTTAATATTATGTACCAGTGCACATACTAATGCATTGAAAAATAGGATGACACTGTTGTTGCTTAAAGCTTGTAACATTGGAGGTAAGCTAAAATCATCTTTCCTGCTTCAGTGCCATATGACCTTAATTGATATTGACTGAAAACCAAACAGGACAAACAAAATTAGTCTGAATTCATTATACCATCCATATGACACTAGATATACCATCAACATGACACTAGATTTTAAATCTTTGAAAAATCATGCAATCTCAATGTATTTTATGTAAATACTGGTGTGAGAGTAAGATTATTTCTATATACCTCATACATGTAGTCAAAAGTGCGTGTAATTTTTGTGTATTTATTGACTTACTTAACTCCACTTAATCATCAGGGTATTTATTAAGGTAAGGGCATTTCTGTTTTAAAAATAATATGAAAAAACAGAACTTTGTCATGATTTCCAGTACTTTTATTTTTTTATTTTATTTTTTGTAAACTTACTACTGTATGTGCAATTGCAAATTAACAATTTATTTTCTAGGTTTGTGTTTTGCTAAATTATTAGGCACATAGGCCAGTGTGGCTTTTGAGTTTTAGTCAGTATCTTTAATGAAAGGCTTAGATTTATCAGTACATCCCCATCTTTTATGTGATAATCTAGTTCTTATGTAATTTGGTGCATTTTAAGCTCACCTGAGCACAAAGTGCTCACAGGTTAGTTTTTGTGATGACCTGATGTCTGTCTGTCACGTTTATCTTTAAACTCAATGTCTCTGTAACAGTTCAGAGCTGGTCACTATTTTGGGGAGAATATGTGTAAGCGGATAGATAGCTCTGTCGATAGAGCCGTGGAACGGTATTCTGAGGGTCCCTGGTTTGCGTTCCCATCAGGCTGCACATTTTTCTCACCCTGTGACGTCTCTTTCCAAAGAGCATAGTAGATTTTGTTAAAAATCCAGCAGAATGATCTGTGGGTGTGTCCTTTACAAAAATTATTAAAATGGTTCAGGTTTGATGCATAAATCAATCATCTTAACTTAAAATTTATTTCAGAAATGATGCCTTTACAATCTTTGTGTCAAAAAATAACAAGACCCAGGTCTGAGATATTTGATATTTAGTAATTTTTCACAAAAGGCTCTGGTCCTGAAAATTGTAATATCTTTTGGAACTTATCATTTACTCCTACTTTTATTCAGGTGAGCGATAATAGGTAAACTTAGACCTCTTGTTATTATTTATGTTACATGTATTTAATATGAGATTATAACTGGTTGTGTTGTGTATATGTATTCAATATGTGTTATAAAGGATACCAGGATATATTGTTTTTATTCTGCCTAGTGTATTTTGGTTCCATATGTCCTAGGCTTTGCTGTGGTATTATATAAGACACAGGTAATCAAATGCAAGGTATTTTTATTGTACAGTAGAAATCAAGCTTAACATTTTGTGAGAAAATGTTTTCAAATGTGTATGTTTTGTGAATTTGAGTTTATAAAATAAGGTGTGCATATATTAGAATATTTGTGTGTAAGTGGTTTAGAATATGTAAATCTAGTTTGGTAAGTAGGTGGGTTCTGTTTGTCAACTATTATAATCTCTTGCATATATGTTTTCATATCTTGTATATGTTTTCATAAATTATGTAAAAAAACAAAAACAAAAAAAGCGATTTTGACTTGATACTTGACAGAACATTTCACATAAATTTCACCTATTGTCATTTATCTTACTGCCAGTTACCTACATTGCAATATTTGAATGATATTGTCTTATATTAATTATCCCACAAAACCTCATGCTTTATTTGCTATTTTTGTGACCATATGCTCGATATCAGCACCAGTGATTATCACTTGCTCCAACAAGTTTATATTGATACTTGTACGCTAGGGTCATACTCACCTTAAATTTGATCAGTGAATAATTATGTAAAATTTCTTATGTAATGTTGTAAAACAATGAAGCTGACAGTTACTTGCTTTGAACATTATTGTCACAGTCTTGCTATTGTATTTCTGCACATCAGAATTCCTTGACTTACCTTGCAATATTTTTACCACATTGCACTCAAAATGATTATCTATTTCCATTCTGACATATTATATCTAAAACATTGTTTATCTGTAGCCTATTACAATCTGCTGAATGAAAGAATTATCAAAAATAATAAGAATATTTGCACAAATATTTTAAGAACCATATATTTTGGAAATAATTGACATTTCATTGTTGATTATGCAAATTAGGGGAGGGAAATCCTGATATCTGTGAAATTCAGTAAACAACGAAGAATGCACAACTAAATATAAATGTATAATGTATAAGGCAGGACTAAGAACTGAGTGTGTTGCGAAGCTCTTCATGCCTTCTAGTGTTAGAATATCCAACTGGTAGAATAGTTCAACATTATAATGTCTGGTCTGGCTCTAGTCTGCGAAGATATATTATTAGTTATAAAGATTTTTGACTAGTTATATTGCCTTATATAAACAGCTGTTTGGAAAATGTGGCTCTGGTTATTTTGCAAACAACCATTTATATTTTGTCATATAACCTGTTAGGAATTCTTACAACAAATTTATAAAACAGCAAACTTTCTTCTTTCTTTTTAAGAAAAAAGTGAGATTTCTTTGTAAATTATCAAGTGAAAAGCGATGTTACAAACATGCCGAATGATAAAAGTGATACTAAAGATTAACTGTCGTGCAAATATCATTATTTTATCTCGCCTTATTGTTTGAACTTAACAAAAAGAGATATTTATATCATATATAAGGAAAAAATGTTTTTATGTATTTTTAACATTTAATGTCTCAATGGTGTAAACATGCATTAACCATATGAGAATTTCTTGTTTTGTGGAAAAATTGGAAAATTGGCAGAATTTTAGTATAATTGATTAACTTGATTTACTGGTATATGAAATGCTTATATAAGGAAAAGCTCTTATGATACACTGCAACCTGTGCAAAGCAACACTTAGTAGAGCAGAAACCTCTTTTAAACTGACATCATTGTTGATTTTACCTCACAACTGAAATCATTGTCTCCCAAAGGGGGTTGCTGTGCAGAGGTTTAACTGTATACGTAACTTTTACAAAATAGTAATTAGGATATACTGTAGTTTTGTAAGGAATGGTAAGTGCTTGATTAGAATAAAATGCTTGTATTTCAAGGAAAGTTAGGTTACCTCATTTCAGTAATCATGTATTGTATATTTGTCTGGTACTTTTGTTTTGATACTTATAACCACTGTTTTAAACTGGAGCTAGCCTCAAGTTTCTAAAACTGGAAGCTGAGAACCAATACATGTTTAGTTTAATTGTATTTGATAGATCAAATGTGATTATAAGGTTTAAGATAATTTAAATATGTAAAAAGTTTCGAGTTCATGTGTAAAAGGATAGTTCATGTGTAAAAGGATAGATCTGCAATTGTTTCACTGTCAGCGCTTATGTAATTAACCTATAACTCGCCCCCAACACCACCCCACTCCAAGGTAAAAGAAAAACATGCACATTAACCAATCAAATCAGCAACTTTCTTAATCTGATTTTAATGTCACAGTGCTGAAAATGTAAGATGATGTATACTCTAGAAGTGTGAAACAGAAGTTACAAGTATCAAACAGAACATTTACCTGTACATTGTTGTATGATTTTATTGCTAAAAAAGTAAATGGCTTTTAATGGACAAAATAAATGATAAAACTGAAGCTGTTGTTGTTGTTGTTGTTGTTTTCCTGCTGTTGCTGCTGCTTCCTTATTAGAGCTATGATTGAAGAAGTATACTGAGAACTAGTCAAGTTAGGTCTTCAACCTTTATATACATTAGTATCTTGTCAAGTTAATGCCAGTCTTTTACCAGTGATATGCTTGTCTTTTAATCTGTTTATGGACGATTAGCTGGTGTAGAATAATTTAAATTGTAAATCCTTCTGGCAGCCCAGCTTGGTATCTTATGGGTTATGTAAAGTGAACATATTCTCTCATACAAAAGGTATTTGCACTGAGTTTCGATAAATTTGGAAACCACAAAAACTTAATCAATTAATTAATCGAACTAGCTCACGTTCTTAAACGTTATAATATAAGATGTAACTGGTTGCGTATTTAATACATTTCATTTATAAATGCTCACTTGTTTGTGAGCAATTGACTAAGTATTGAATAGAAAATGGCTAAAATTGTCCCGAAAGGTCCATTCATTTAGTTTGTCCTCTGTGTACAGGTTTTACTGTTGATGGCAAATGTGTAAATTTTAATTTAAATGCTTGACTTTTATTACACATGGACGACAACAACCAAAAGGTAAGACTATATTTTTTCTGCGTGTTGTAAATCGAGATAAAGCATACTTTACCTAACGAAAAGCAGATGTGATAGTGAGGGTAATTCTGATAGTTGCAGCCGACCATCACGAGGAATGTTGCATTTTGGGTATTTTCATGGCAGATGATTGCTGCGCTCTAATTAACACAAGGATATATCGGATAAAACACTACACCGATTTTCCGAAGGTAAACAAACATTTTTATACCTTTCTGTCTTATTATTATTTTGGATTTTTTGCACCAAAAAGCATACATTAGTTTAATCAGTCTTAGTGTATATTATTTGTTTTTTCCCCTGATTTGTCTTCCTACTTGAAATCGTTAGGCACTTTTCGCATATTTTCTATAAAAAAAGTCGCCTCTCAACTTTTAATTACATGACCGGGATGCACTAAATGTGTAGTATGAATAAAGATAGTATAATTTAGTTTGTTAATTAGAGTATCATATTTTCTTTATCATAAATCATTTATTTGAGAATTTGAACATGTGTTCACTCCACCGATATATATTTTCATCATATAGAATATTCCCCACGGGAGATATTTCTGATATATTTATGTCATTTTCCGGTATAATGAAATAAATAACACATTGTTGACGGGGTTATAGTGGAACTTATTGTACTAAGAGTTCATAGATACAGTACTATTTCAGTTGAGATACAGTATTATTTCAGTTGAGATACAGACAGTACTCTCTTAGTTGAGATACATTACTACCGATATTTTAGATGAGATACACTACTATTTTAGTTGAGAAACAAAATGATTTTAGTTGCAATACAGTACTACCGATATTTTAGTTGAGATACAGTACTCCAATATTTTAGTTGAAATACAGCACTATTTTAGTTGAGATACAGTGATATTTTAGTTGAAATGCAGTACTATTTTAGTTGAGATACAGTGATATTTTAGTTGAAATGCAGTACTATTTTAGTTCGAGATACAGTGATATTTTAGTTGAAATGCAGTACTATTTTAGTTGAGATACAATACTAGTTTAGTTGAGACACAGTACTATTTTAGTTGAGATACATTATCATTTTAGTTAAGATACAGCACTCAGAATATTTTTATGCTGTCAAAAGGGGACATAATTATATGTTTTATTATTGTCATATTGGATTAAGTGCTTATGTGTAATGATGATCATCTGAAGAAAAGGCGTTTAATGTGAAATAATTTGTCATAATGGTAGCAAAATGTTAAAAGTGGTATTTTGTTCCATACAAAATACTAAATCACGATAACTGCACTACATGCCAAAATGCAAAAGGCGCAAAATACGACTTAGCTAATGACCAATCAGTAACTTTTTTGGAAACTATAACGGGACACCAAAAATTTAAAAAAACAACAGCTTTTGAAAAATAATTGAGGCTAAAAGGGGGGGGGGGGGATTTAGAGCTTGAAAACTAAATTGTGAGAGTTCAGAAAAAAAAATCAACCATTGCCCATTTTCACAAACACTTATGTCGACTATTTATGCGTGAAGCTTCACATATTCGTGACTAGAAATAAATGTACATTGTGAACTAAATGTAAAAATAAACCATTAATTCAATGCTGCATAAGTAGGGCTACATATCTTAATAGGTTGTTGATATGAATATTATTCTACCCGGTCAGTACAGTGGTCAAATGTTACCTTGGCCAAACCTCGAGTCGTGGCAGTGCACGAGGACCGGAACTTCCGAGGCACTGCGATGGCTGAATGTTCCGGCGTTGAGATAGCAGCTGCATCATGAATTTACTTGTTATATACTAATAATTGTGATATTATTTATTTATTTATTTTATTTATTTATTTATTTATTTTGTATAGTATTATGAAAACGGCTACAACATCTCAGATCATATATTATGTAACAAAATTACTTATAATACAGCCTTTATAATTTTATATTACGAGTAAAAATGAGTTGTCTGTAAGAATATGAGTGTCATCAGCGAGGGGACATAATTATTGTAGTTAATTTCTGCAAAGGCAAATGAAGTTTACTAGGGCCCTAGCAACCAATCTCGAGTTCTTTACAATAATTCTCTATCTTTTACTTTACGAACTGATTAATGTGTTAAAGGAACTCCACTGAGGTCCAAAGGCCTAAAACATAAAAATTGAAAACCTTACTTAGATCAAATGGAAAAGTCTGCATGGATAATAAAGAATTATACTCAGAACTAATTTGATTTATGTGCGATTTATTTGCCCGGCTTTGAGTGAAAAGCATTGCAACGCTTTTCGTTGGTGCAATAAGATTATTCTGGGAAAACGGTGCGAAGGAATAGCCTGAAATTTTTCACACAAATTATTGGTATAGACCTTTATCAGTTGGTACGGGAATCTTGGAAAAATATTGTCAGTCCATTCATGTAAAATATTTCCCTTTAAATCCCTTTAACGCATATTTGAAAATATAGTGTAGTCCCTTTAACGGTTATCCGAAAATACCATATAGTAAGTAACATAATCACTTCAAAGTAGTTCAAATAGTTTCCTGTTAGCATATATACATGGTGCAGTCCTGAACTTACTTTTATGTAGTTTAACGATAACCTCGGTACAATTTATGCACCAAAATGTTATACATAACACTACTAAATGTCACTGTGACAATTTCAAATTCTGTTTCAATATCACATCATCTTGTCAAATCATACAATAAACTGAATTGTTGATTTTAATATTTGGTGAATTCATGTTGTTTTACTTTTTGATTTTTTTTTTAGCTTTTTTTTTGTAAGGAAACGTTTAATGAACGTACATATAATTTTATTTTGTTTACTATAAAATCGCTGAACTGGTTTTATGACAACTATTTGACTGACTTTTGATATCTATATTTGTGAAATTATATAGTCCGTTATGATAAGTGAAGTTTAATGCGAGAAAGAAAAAAATGAAAACATAAAATATGAAAGTCTTACATAAATCAAGTGAAGTACTTAATATTGAAAAAATCTGCAAATTGTGACTCAGAATTAATTTGAAAATTGATTTTTTTGTGCATGGATTGACAGTTGTAACGCTTTTCGATTCTGGGTCATTTTGAACAATAAAACATGATGATTCGGTAAAAACGGACCGAGGGTATGATCTGAAGATTTGCACATAATTTATTTGTCCATATCTACATCATATCCTACCCAAATTGGGAAAATATTTCTAGTCCAGTCATGTTAACAAAACTTCAGTGAAGTCCCTTTAATACTTATGACATATATGTTGCGATTTTTATCACTTGACTTCCGAAAGATAGCTAGTAATAATAATTCATTTTCTTGTTCGGAGATAGATAAGTGTGTTTTGTATCTGTCTGTGAAAATTGATGAGCTAAGAACTTTGTTGATCACAGATGTTGATTTTTACGACACAATTCCTTACTAAATAATTATTCAAAACATTGTAAGTTGAATTTTTTTACTTTTTCTTCAGCTACAGCAGTTGTTATCCGTAATCATATAAAGTTTATCATCGAAACTTATTAGAAAACATAGTGCATTTGATTATCTTATGTTTTGTCGAGCACTTTTCATTTATAGTTTAAAATAAAATCATTGCATAGATTTGAAATTGCGTTAATTCTCATTTTGTGAAAGCTTTTATATTTTCGCTGTCTTATGATAGTTTTCTAAAAGATACTTATAAGAGCTTACATAGCTTATTGGTAGTAAGTAGATTCATAGTGATTTAGTATTTTGTATGGAAGTCAAAATAAAAATATTTCTTTGTTTACATTTTGGTACTTTTTTGACAAATAGTTTCACATTCAGCGCTTCTTTCTTCAAGTGATAATGATCAAAAATGCTCTTAAACCATTATTTGAATGTTATAAAACTCTTTTTTGCATTTCTAAAGAATGGAGGAAAAATATTTGTTTCTGAGGTCTAATGTGCCTTTAATGCAAGCTTTTACAATTCAACTTGAATCATTTTTTGGCAATCAGAGGTAGTTGCGTTTCTTCTCAGTTACAATATTACTAAACCTTTCTAGAACTTGGTATTATTTCTACTCATTAAATACATATATACTTACAGTTGCTTTAGACATTCTTGGTGACGTCATGGATTTATCAGCAAAAGAGTGGGAAAAGTATGGAAAACCGGAGCATTCTCACGTATATAAACAAATTGCTACTGTAATGCACAAAGGAATTAAACCGGAAGAAGTTGCAAAGTTCTACGACACGTGGGCAGATGGCAGGGAATACGAAAACGTAGGGTTTTATATAACAATATACTGTCACAAATAAGATGACAATGTTTGTAAGTAGTATTATGCAAGGGATGCGTGCAAGTGTTTTTTCTGTGTAGGTTGCATTCGTTCTTTATTACTTTTTGTTCATGTCCATGTTAATTTTGTAGCGTGAATCAAACTAGTAAATTTGCTGGACCATTGCTGCTGAACCGTAGTGTTTGCTTGCGGCAGCTCTGGAGTTACATTTGTGCGTAATATCTAAGTAATTCAATGTCTTGTTTGCGCATCAAAATTCGTATTCATTTATTTTATTAAAAAAAAAAAAAAAAAGATAATGAATACATGCATTATTATAACCTCTCCGTAGTTTGTCGTTTACTGTAGCAATCACTGTGTATTACTAGCGTTCCAACCAGAAGCCTCTGTAGATTTGTATATTTGCCGTAATTTGTTTTGTAGCTTGAACATTGTTTATGTCTTGTTTTATTAAGATTTTGTTTTGTTTCCCCTTTACGTAGGAGCTACCTGAAGATGTATATAACGCTCCAATAGTGACGGCAGCGGAAGCTGCTGGAGGACTAACGGATGACCAAAAAGCCACAGCAAAAGTGTTTGATGTCGCTGCAGGGACGGGAATGTGCGCTGTGCAGGTATGTACATCGTTTTCTTGAGAGAAAAAACACACAACTACGTCAACTGAGTATATGATGATACATATGCAATTAAACATATTTGAATAAACGTTTGTACAGACTTTTGGTAAAAAAGTAAACAACATATATTTTATCACTGTTATACATGTAATAAATCAACTTTTTATGTCCCGTCATTTTCGTAGTAGAAAGCTGTTCGCTACATAACCATTTTGATATGCAAACGTTATTTTAACAGTTTAATACACTGTATTGTTTCGTCTATATTCTAATAGAGAATAATAAATGATTTTACAAATTTCATAAAAAAATTATGATATATATTTAATCATTTATTATGTTTTCACAATGCACGTGTTATAGTTAAAGCTGCACGGGTTCCAGCATATTGATGCTCTAGATCCGTCACAAGGAATGTTAGATAAAGCCAAAGAGAAAGATCTGTACGAGAGGTATATTTGTGACTTCATGACAGACAAACATTTAGACATACCAGAAAGTAAGTGTTACATGTACATATTTTAGTTGTACTTTCACATGCACTGTGCTTATTTTCACTCATTGTGACTTTCCATCTTTTACTTAAATAGTAAACTTACCAGGACTTCTCTGAGATTTTTCGACATGAAGGGAGTTTAGGCTTTGTCCGTCCGTCCGTCCGTTTGAACGTCCGTCCGTAGCGTGGATTTTTCTCTCAACATTATCATACTACATGCAGTGTAACTTAGACATCCTAAGCAGTTATTCTTGGTTTATTCCCAGTATTTCAGAATTAATGACCCCTACATTGATTCGATTCATTAAAAATGTCTGCCATAAGCCGTTTGGATTCTTTTTAAATATTTTGACCAGCATATTGAAAAGTGCTCTTTATCTCTTTAAAGTTTAGTATTGTAAACATGGTTATTGCCCCTGAACTGACAGATTATATAGAAAACTATTACTTAAAACATGCTCGTGAGTTTAAATAAAGTATGTAAAAGTGATATAACAATATATTATATTGTAGCTGCGTGTGTGACGTTTTGTTCCAGTTTTACTGTTGTCTGATTCCCGGTACATTGTGTAAGGGGAAGTAACTCAAGTCTTTATTTACTGAAGATATGAATTTTATTCGAATTTGCTTGTTAATTTTCAGATACATATGATGTACTCACAGTAAGTGCTGGGTTTGGAGAGGGTCATCTACCTTGTTCTTCACTGCATGAGATGGTCCGTGTAGTTAAACCAGGTAGGACTCGAGCTACAATAGGAACATCTCGGCTATCATGAATAATAACAGACATTTGACGGACAGGGCCGAGAAGATGCGATTAGCTCGAGCTTGAGCTCATGCGCAATAAAAGCCATAGTTAACGTTACTATTCTTGTAATGGCTAAACAGTAATATTCAAAACAAAATTATTTTGTGTGGGATATATAAAATATTCGCGGAACGATTTAGCTTCTTTATTTAGACATTATATGTATTATATCCATAAAATAACTTGGTCATCATGATTATCAGCAATTATCACATGACGAAAAAATGTGGTCCCACTCGGTTTCATATACTTTTTTCTTGACAGAGACACCCACGGTTTTATTCTACCAGTTACGTTAGTATTTTACTATTAAATGTTCCTACATGACCTTGAACATGGAAAAAATGTAGAAAAAACATAGTTAGCAACTTCTACACAGCTTATTTATGACGAAAGTCGTAAATAAAATATTTTCATGAAATCAATTTTGAACTACATTTTCTTATCTTGACCCAAGCTATAAAATAAACTTTTAACAGATTAAGAGAATTTGTGTGTCAGGTCACATAAAATAATACAGGTTGAATACGTGTGTGTTGAGACTACAATTAAATGAATTTAAAGGGACTCCACTGTGGTTTTTGGACATGACGGGACTGGAAATATTTCTCCGAGTTTTATGTACTGTACCATTTGATGTATGACTGCACCAATAACTTGTGTGCGAATGTCCAGAGCATTCACTGACCCTTTCTTATTGTGCAAAACGACTAAATGATAGAGTAGAATTGCAATTATTTTTACTCAAATCAAGCAATAATTCGCATAAAATTGATAGTCAAGTTTCTGTGTATATTTATTATTTCAATATTTTTATTATATTTTGCAGATTTTTCCGTAAAAAGTGCTTGGCTTTATCTATGAAAAACATTTTTTTTCTTCAATTTTATGCTGTTTGAATTTTTGACCTCATAGGAGCCCCTTTAATATTCAGAAGTTTGCATTTGTAACTTTTATAACGATTGAAAGAGAAGTTTTCATCGCAAACAGCTGTTGTATAAATATTTGATGATTTTTAAAAGAATCGCATTAGACTAAAGGTGACTGAAAGGTGAAAAAAAATGTGTACATGTAAATTGAGATCGTGTTTGCTTGGGTTTTTTAATGTAATAATAATTCCACATTTGCTTGGGTATTGCATCTTCCTAAAATGTGCCCGAACTTAGCATAGCAATAACACTTTATTGGCATATATGTACGGCTTATATAAAAAATATTTTCATCACCGCTTTGCGTTCGAGTCCTATAGGGACTTTGTATTGTTTCATGTGAGGCAGCTATTCATCTAGCATACGGAAGGTCCGTCGTTCTACTTGGATCCCCGACTGTGCCTAAAATAATGAGAGTGGGCACCTACCTGAAGTATTCTCCACTTTTATCAAGAAGTACGTACAGTACCTACCGTTTGCCGTTCACTCACGTCGCCCAATTTATAGCAATCTGAATATGGACTGGTTGCAACCTTATACCAATAAAGTCGTACCATGCATAATTTATAGAAGAGTGTACAATCGAAAATCAAGACATCAGTTGAATACGACCACGGAAGTCGTACTCAGGACCCCAGATGTCGTTGTTTTCAACGGTTGTCTTAATTTTCGATTGTACTGTGTATAGATTTCTTAATATGTCATAAATGTGAAAAAAGGTTTCGTAAATCAAATTTTCTAATTTTTGAACAGACAAATTAATGCGGATCATATAACTCTATTTTGTATAAATTAAATAAATTTCATTTGTAAGGTTGATTATACATGAAAACCATCCAAAATTTTGGCATAAATTTTGTAGGGTACGTGTTCTCTGCAAGTCCTTAAAATCAAGAACTTGCCGAAACAAATCTTCTGATATATTCATATATTGCAGGAGGTCGTATTGTTTTGGTGACTCGGGAACAGCACTTATACACAGTGGCGGAGTACAAAGACAGACTCGAACCTCTGATGGACAGACTTGAGGCGGAAGGAAAATGGAAGAAACTAGAGCGTAAAATCTTCAAAGGATTCTTCCTCGATAAAGATGGAATCATGTGGAAATACCAAGTGTTATAAAACTCTTACGGCAATAAGGGGGATATGTATATGAAAAAAACCTGGCATCTAGTTAACGCTTTTAGGGCTGGTTCTTGTCGGATACTTGAATAAAATGATCCGAGACACCTAGGCACTTGATATTGGCACAGTTAATTGTGATTGGAATAAAATAGATGAATGGTGATTTTATTAAAACTTAATTTTTTGATGTCGTTCATCATTTTAATTGTTGGCATACAAAATTACGTCATGTATTGTATTTGCAATCGGACGACAGTTGTGTCATTGTAAAATAATTCCATTCTTGGTTGAGAGTTGTATGAATGTGTTCAGCACCTTGAATGTTACCTGTGACACTTATTATTCTTTCTTTTTTTTATAATTTTAAGCATTCATATAAATATCTTTACATTCATTGATCTTTTTATCTTATCGAAATATTACAATTACACAGTTTAAGTGATTTTATAATATGAAAAAATTCATGCTTATGAATAATCATTTGCTACTTACATTTTATTCAAATTCTCTGTAAGAACTAATAAAAAAATGAAATTGGAACAGATTTTTATTCTTCTTTATGCCCTATTGTAAGATTGAATTACAACGATCGTTGTCTGCTTTTAAATGCTTATCTTAAAATAAATGCCTTAGAAATGAATATTTTTTCTTTCTGTACAAAGATCAAACATGGATTTTATAATATTTTTATATTGGGTTTAAACAAGTATGATGCTTATCATCTGAATGTGAAGCAATTTATGATAAAAGCAGCAAAATGTAAACTCAAAGAGGCTCACATAATATAATTTTATTCAACTCGTTCAATAAATTTACTAACTTGCATTCATTCAATATCCTCTATCTGTTGATACATGTAGTATTAAGTATCATACAGACAACAAAGCATGAAATAATTATATATGGATGTTATATGTTGGTGCCTGATACATGTTTGGATATTACATATTAAAATTTCATGTATGGCTCTAGCAGATAATAAATTGTTTTGTAGAACAAAATATTATTATTATTCATCGTATTAATGATTATACTAAATCACTTACATCTAAATCAACCTTTTTTTTCAAGAAATGTTTTGTAAGAATATCCAAATGATACATTTATATTAATTTTATCAATATTTGAGATGTCTATTGAAAATGCCCATTGTAGACTTATCATTCTACTAATCGTTAATCTTAATATAATAGCTGATCTTAATGCAATTTTCTTGTAAAATCATCTTCCGCATTTTGCATCACTTCCTTATAAGAAAAGGCAAATTCTTTAAGAAAATGACCATATTTGGTTATGTAATTACAAGTAAAGGGAGAAAATGTTGTTAGGTTACAGAACAACACATATATTGAGTTAGATCCCTTGTGGGTGTTTAATACGGTGACAAACGAAAAGACGAAATTACAATGTGTGTGCCGCAATAGCCCGACCACACAGCATTTAAATATTTTATGATTCTTTTTCTTTTGTTATCTGATACCACAATTTGACTCTAGTAACACCAGACTTTGAGTAATAAATTAAAAAAGTGAAAACGCATTATGCGCATGAATGCTTTAATTGTTATTTATACATTTACTTAAATGATTTTTGTTTTTGATGCCCTTTCATAGCTTCTGAAACGTTATTCATTGCCCATGTACCTGAAACATCTTTTGTTTCTATTGCTTGGCGCAGTTTGTACAGTTATAATGATTTAGTTTTTAGTGTGGAAATCAAAGTACTATTTTGTTTATTTTTAAGACAAATAATTTCACATTCAGTGCTAATTTCTTCTTGCGGTAAGCATCTAACATGCTCATAAATCATTATTTAAACTTTATAAAACTCATGTTGGCTCTTTCTCATTATGTAAAAAATGTATTCATTGCTGAGGCATACATTCGAAAACTCGCATGATCGCTAAATTGATGTCGTGGTGACGTGTTCTTGTGGGCTGTGCTGGGATGGATATGTCTTCGCCACTTTTCGTCCTTTCCGTCAAATTTTAAAGGGGTATTGCCCATACTTTAAATAAACTCATCAGTATATGAAAAAGTGATCAAACATATTTCCTCAGATACTAGTAGTCGCGTGAATGTTACACCATGGATTTTTCCATTTATTTTTTTTGAGTATTTAAACTTTTTATTTACATGAAAAGTGTATAAATCATGATTACTTGAACGAATGAAACTTAAAACATTAACTTTGTGTCATATATTTTGAGTTTAAATTACACACATAGATATATCTCATCCAACTTAAAAATTCATTTGATCTGTTTGTGCAAAGACTTCAAAGAAAACGCCGAAATTTAATATAAATAAATGACCGCGGAAATATGACAGGGAAAAAATGTCTCCAAATCTTTGTTAACGATAATATACCGTTAATTCTTGCTCAAAATAAAATCTTTTCTTAATTCAACCCACTATTTCAAGAAGGCAATTAATGTTTCCTTATAAATGACTCGATAATGACTTTATGACTATTTTAGAACTCACTTTCTCAGTTTGCGCGCTATTTTTTGTCTCGGTTTAATCTCTGCTAATAAGAAAGCGGCAATTAAACATTTATGCTAGCACCATAGCTGCTTATGACGTCATTGGCTGTCAAAGATTCAGTCAGGATGGCGGCAATTTCTGCCAATATTTCGTCCTCAGTTCTCCGCGTTGTTATTGAAACTGGACTTTAAGCATGTAGGCTCTATTGAAAGCCAATAACCTTGTAACAAGTACGTGAGTAACTCGAGTTTGTTTATTATCATCCTAATCTGGCACAAATTGTCAATTAGGAAAAGAAAACAAAGTGTATGGTGGGCACTTCTTAATATACCTTCAACATGGTCAAAATGTGAGAAAGCATTTTAAGAAAAACACTTCCGGTAGAACTATATACGTGTTGTAACTACATGGATACAAAATCGAGAAAGATTATGTCGCTGTTGTTGTTGACGACGACGACGACGATGATGATGATGGTGATCATCATCATCATCAATACTATTACAACAAGAAAAAGAACAATATTTTTCCTAATATTAAAATGGTACACTTACTGTTCGAACAATACATGTTTGCTTCTGGAAAATTATCAATTTTCGTGATGAAATAATTTTTCGTGGGTAGTATAATCATCGAGTTTTACTTTTATATCCATCGAAATTTTATTTCGTCTTCTGTACGAATGTTTGCTTACATTATTACATTGTACTTTTTGTTTGTGCAAAAAGAGACAATCCACGAATTTAAGAACCCACGGAAAATATTTTTTTATAGAACCGAAATTCAGTACTCTGAACATCATTAGTATACAGTAGCATGATTAGGTAACATTTTGCTGAATATTTGTAGAAGGTTCAAAAATAATGGATTGGCTTTAATTGTATAAAAAATAATGGATTGGCTTGCATTGTACAAGACAATGCACGTATTCTCAGGTAGGGAAATTGATTTTGAAATTGAATTGCATTTTAGGCGCATTTTTCGCTTTAGGTTCAACGTTACTTTAAAGAGGCTCTCCATCCAGTCGAGATCTTGCCATAACTTGTATACCCATAAACACATTGGATGTACGTAGACGCATGCCAGGCAAGAAATTAAATCACGTCATTGGTAACATAAATCACATTAGAGCTGCAATAATACAATGTGTTATCAATAAGACACTGTCTAATTTCAGAATTGGCTGCTACTCCAATTGACGTTGTTAGACGTTACCTCGGGAACGACTATTGTAGTTAAGGGTCCGGACCCTGATTAATGACATTAATCTCAGGTATTTGATTGGTCAGAAACCAACACAAAATGCATATTGAACAATGAAAATCCTGTGATTCGAGACAGAACTCAGATAAAAGTTTTATAACCTAGAGGCCAGGTGACAGTTTAGCCGTCCGGTTAGCTCAATAGAGCGTTGGATTGTGAATCGGGAGACCCGGGTTGATTCCCGGAAGGTGCAGGTCACTTTCGTTGTGATCGATCCTTAAATCCTTTCTACGGTTATTCACACTGTACTTCTGCGAAGTGATCAGTTCCTTGCACAACTGAGGTAATATACTTGACAGCTTGCCCAAGAACAATGTGGCTGAACTTTGCTCTGGTAAATTCAATGTGGCTTACTGCCGTGGTCCGGAGTGAAAACTATACCAACCACGGCCAGTTAGACTTACTCGGTATTAAACGAGATAACATTCAAATATTAATTTGCAATAGTTGAAAAAAAAAATAATGTAAAAGCTACGATATTTAACTGTGGGAACACAGTACAAATAGTTGTGAAAAACGCTACTTGTCATATCGGCAAATATCCAGTTAAGACTATTTGCATCGAACTCATCTTAATTTTTAATTTTATGTCTATATATGATTTGATTCCTTACGTACATGTAGATTCTATGTGCATCAGAATGCCAGTTGTATCTTTGCCATATCTTCTAGAGCATAAATTTTTCCTCGTCAATAAGGGCTTTTTAAAAAAGGCTTTTCATTTCCTGTACATTTAAAATTGAAAAAACTTAATTATTTGTTTATTTCTTTTGTATCTGTTTTAATGTAGAATTAGTCACGCTTAGTAAAACTTAAGGTCTGCATAGAAATTGCAAGTGTACCATCACATACGACATCCCCTTCACAGCATACCGGTTGATAGGCCCAGGTTTGGCACAACGCTTCACATGCATGAATGACAATGGTGAAAAACCCTTAGTACAAACAATGTATGAACAACGATAGCCTAATTAATTTGGCGTGAACGGTTTGACCCATTTTACAGACTTTTTTTTTCTTACTGTCAAACCGTTACAGCGCCCGTCCAAAATTACCTCGGTGTCTCTTTGACAAGTCTAATTAGTTGGACTAGAACAACGAAATAAATGAATGATGAGACCAGCGCTTTACATGTACAGTATATATTCAGACAAGACCAGGCAACTGTTATACATGCTACAATTTTTTGTTGACAGGAACGTTTATATATTTATTCTGTTACTTTTAACCCAAATTGTGAGGTTTGTTTAGTTTCTTAATTTTAGCCAGATATAGTAATTTATGCCTGTAAACTACTGAATTTGACAGTATTCTTATTCTCACGGTTACCGCTCGGCATTCGTGACGTCATTGTGTGGTTTCAGCTGCCATCTTTTCAGAAAGTTGCTGGAGAGAATTGAGTCAGTCGGCGTTTCTCATCTTGAACAGAATTTTAAGACCACTTGTGTCTATATTAATGAATATATATCGTATCTGAAATCATCAGCGCATGGTAATAGTCCAGGATAAACCCACATGTTAGTATTTTTAACCGGCGTCTCGGATTTTTATGAATCTTTTTTCATCACTTTTCGTTTTTTATTGTCAGTT